TATCTATCTGTCTGTCTATCTATCTGTCTTTCTGTCTTTCTGTCTATCTATCTGTCTTTCTGTCTATCTATCTATCTATCTATCTGTCTTTCTGTCTTTCTGTCTATCTATCTGTCTATCTGTCTATCTATCTATCTATCTGTCTTTCTGTCTGTCTATCTATCTATCATTTTAAATGTTATTTTTGTGCAGCAATAGTCAAATGTCATTACATCATTCATTTCAGACTTTGTACAACCTTTTGAGAAAGAAATTCAAGCCGTTTTCAGTGACTTTCAAGTATTTCACACAACTATCTCCAGCACTTTAAAGCTCTAAAAACGATCCACTTTAAATGCTATTTTTACAGTTTTTCTCAGTTGCTTTGGTGCATTTCCCGAACCATCCTTAATATTTGCAAAAAAATATGTGCATTTCTCAAAACAATTCGTACAAAGATTTTGAGTAAGTATTTATGTCAATGAACTTATCAGTGCCATCAGAATGAAAAGTCCTTTTGTCATTGTTCACAAACAAGACAGTCAAAATGCTTAGTCATGTTGTCAGTATAACACTGCACTTTGTTAGTATTGGCAACATTTTGGTTGACAGTTACTGTATTGAACAGTATGCTTATGTATGCCATATATCCATTTCAAAAGTACAAATTTACACATTACTGTATGTGGGATATTGATTGAAAGAGACTGGATAGAATTCCCAGTTACACTTTTACTAGTGGTCTGACCCAAAAAACAACACATTACAATGTCATTGTGATATAGAAAAGGAAAAAGAAATATGGGCACAAAGTACAATAATGTGTAACTCTTGTGTTGTCCTCTGTCTGTACAGTATAAGCTTTCCAACTGAAGACTCACGAGATGAACCTTTGAGCTATTTCAGAAAAATGGTTTATCAATTCTCTTCATTAGGGAAAGTCAAGATTCACTTGCACAATTCATGCTAAATTTACGAAAAGTCTAATTATAATGTGCAAAAAATGTGCTTGACGCTTTATGACAACCAGATCAACCATTTTGCATTGAATGACTTATACGATGAACTAAAGACAAGTCTAATTATAATGTGCAAACACTTTATGACAACCAGATCAACCATTTCGCATTGAATGACTTATACGATGAACTAAAGACTAGATGTTTTGAGGGCTAAGACTATTGCACAGAAAACTATATAATACATTTTGAGCAACATGACATTAGCAGCTGATCATGTAGGAAACTGCAGATAAATGCACATAATCAATTGCATGAGTGTACCAAAGCAATCGCAGCTTGCTCAAAAGAATGAGAAACTGCACAAGTGACTAGATGATGTGGAAGCTGTACAAGTAGTTTTGAGAATTTTATTTCTGGTTTGAGAAATGCACCAAAGCGACTGAGAAAAACTGTAATGGAATGACCAAAAACATACTTCAAATCACCACTATAACCAGTAGATGGCAGCAGAGGAGCACTCACTGGCGTATACGTCATTCATTTCTACTTTTTGCTTTATATTTAGAAATTATAAAGTCACTTTCATAAAATATCAAATCATCAAGACATCAAATTTAATCAAATGTTGCACCTTTTTTTATGCATGAAGAAAACAGTCACAAAGTGCCTTGAAAAACAAACTTTTCTTCAGTGTGCTCCAGAATCACACAGTGAACAAATGAGCGCGATCACAGGATTGTTCAGATGTGTTGGAAATGTTTGTGTCATCCACACAATAAAATCATGAGTTCAGTGTCGAAAACCAACGAACAACAAACACAATTAGCTGCACTATGCACTGTTTTGTTTGCATAAACATTAAAATGTTAATATTAAGAAACGATGGCCGGATTTTAAACAAGCAAAAACTCTTGGTTGGGTGACTTACAACATAACATTATCTATTAACATGCATGAAATGATGAACCTCACATTTCAGTCTTTTACTCATTTTTAAGAAAAAGCTATTAAATTATAGGCATTTTATCTGCTCCATGAAAAATTCATATTCAAAGTAATAGAGAATATTCAGCGCGTCCTCCAGTCCAGTGTGCGTCGCTGTCGAGCCGAGCGGACACCGGAAGTGAGGTTCCTCCGCGTTCAGTGTGCTGTGTTGTGGTTCTCGGCGCTTTCATTTATAACAGAGGAGCTAAAGAGAGTAATATAGAATTAGCTGATTAATTCGTGTCGAAATGAGTTTAGCCAGCAGCAGAGAGCAGCGCAGCACCGCGGGAAACCGCATGTCCAAACTACTGGACGCAGAAGAAGAAGATGAGTTCTACAAGACGACATATGGAGGATTCAATGACGTGAGTATTGTGTATATATATTAAATATAAAATATTTCTGTATTCATATATAATTAATATTCATTTAAAATATATACATTTATTTTAAATATTTGTATATTCATATATAATTAATATTAAATATTTAAAGCATATAATTGTAATATATTTAAATATTTGTATATTCATATATAATTAATATTTATTGACATTTTAATAAATGAATCCAGTAGTGAAGGACCAGGTTGATATATACAAGATGTTGCTGCTGATATGGCGTTAAAACATAAATAAATAAAAACATTTTAATACATATTTAAAATATATACATTTAATTTAAATATTTTTATATTCGTATATCTATTTACATTTTAATACATATTTAAAGTATATAAATATCTCATATGCATTTCTTATACGAAGTGTTTGCGTGTATAATGTTTTATGTGTAGTGTATTTGTAGTGTAGTCAATACAAACACAATAACATGACATTTCTGATCTTCTCCGCTCGTCTCTGTCCATCTACACGTGTGTGTGTGTGTGTGTGTGTGTGTGTGTGTGTGTGTGTGTGTGTGTGTGTCTGTGTGTGTGTGTGTGTGTGTGTGTGTGTGTGTGTGTGTGTG